CCCTCTGCTGCTTCTGCCGGTGTCGCTCCTCATCCTCCTCGTCGTTGTCGTCCTCCTTCCCCTCCTTCCCTTCGTCCTCCCCTCCTTCCTCCCCATCCTCCACTTCCTCCTCCTCCTCCTCCTCCTCCTCCTCCTCCTCCTACTCCCCTTCCTCCTCCGCCTCCTCCTCCTCCTCCTCCACCTCCGCCACCTTCTTCACCTCCCCCACCTCCTCCACCTCCTCCTCCTCCTCCGCCTCCACTTCCTCCTCCTCCTCCTCCTTCTCCTCCCCATCCCTGCTCCCCTTCCCTCTTTGTCCTCCTCCTTTTCCCCTTCCCTAACCTCCTCCTCCTCCTCTTTCTCGGCAGACTTCCGAGGCGCATCTGGGCCCGTTGGGGCAGGGTGCCCGCGGGGGGCCTCGCGTCGCAGCTGTCGCAGATGACGCTGGCGTCGAGCGTGTAGATCGAAGCAGTAGTTCAGAGGTGTTCACTTGCTTCTGCGAGAAGCTCTACACCTTAGGCGATGCTCAAGAAAACCTAAGTTTTCGTCCAGAGTCTCGATGATTCTTAATTTTTCAATGTAGATCCGAAGATTTTGATAGAAGTTCTGGGTTTTATTCCATTTCTGAGACTATGAGTTTCTTAATCCATGATTTCTTAAGCATTTCGCAGGGTGTACGCCGGCAGGGGCAGTGCAAGGCGCGCTCGCAACGCTGCTGCCGAAGCAATTCCGCCTTTCGCACTGCGGGAGTTTGACGCGGCACTGAAGGTTTTGAGCCCGTGGGAAGTGCAAAGACGAGTCTGGAGTGGTCGCGGACATGCTGGAGACATCGAGTGCCACTTTCCGCAGTGCTGTTCTCGATAGATTCAGCGACGCGACATGCCCGGGCGCGGGGCTTCTGGAAGCGCGAGCGCGAGCGCAGCTTCTGGTATTATTAAAAGAGGCGACGGTTCACTTGCAAAATATTAGACCCATGTCTATGTTTGCCAATCCTGTACGCACTGTTTGCCTGGATGCAATGCGACAGGCTCCAAACAGCAATTGTCTTTGCGCGGGGCCCTGGCCAGGCTGCATGCCAGATGGGGTGTTCGACTGTTGACCACTTACTCGCACTGGCACCGCGGTACCGATAATCCGGCCCCTGCAGCATGCCAAGAATGTTTGCGTTTCGGTCCTCCTCCTCCTCCTCCGCCTCCGCCTCCTCCTCCTCCTCCTCCTCCTCCTCCTCCTACTCCTCCTCCTCCTCCCCTCCTCCTCCTCCTCCCTCCTCCCTCCTCCCTCCCTCCCCCCTCTCCCTCCTCCCCTCCTCCTCCTCCTCCTCCTCCTCCTCCTCCTCCTCCTCCTCCTCCTCCTCCTCCTCCTCCCCCTCCTCCCCGGGCGCTTTCGCTGCGGGAGATTGTGGCAAGAGGTTCTTCGCCGTCGTCGGTGTCCAGGGGCCTTCGACGGGCCCTGGGCCGTCAGACAACGACCTGGGGCGAAAAGCAGGTCGTGGGGAAGGGGTCGAGAGATTGGGGGGTCCAAGTCCACGCACTGAACAACTCATGCCGTCGCATGTGTGGGTCCTCCTCCTCCTCCTCCTTCTTTTTCTTCTCCTCGTTCCTTTCCTCCTCCATCTCCCTCCTCCTCCGCCTCCTTTTCCTCCTCGTTTTCCTCTTCCTACTCGAGGGGGTTCGAGGATCGAGGAGGTCAGGAGGTTAGGGTTGGGGAGATGAGATGCCGAACAAACGTTCGGGTGGCGTCAGCGGACCACCTCCGCGGGCCTGGCCGGGCCTTCCCTGGTCCCAAGATTGGTGTTCACGCATTTTTTTTTGAGGATGCAGTCAAGACGCTGACGTACAATTGGGACAGTCGCCGCGATTATCTCTCCTCCTCCTCCTCCTCCTCCTCCTTCTCCTCCCTCCTCCTCGTCCTCCTCCTCCTCTTTCTCCTCGTCCTCCTCCAGTGGGGGCCCATGCCAAGAAGCACCCTGCTTGCCTCCAGGGTGCCGTGGGTTTCTTGGGTTTCGATGGTCGTGCGATGCAGCGCGTGACGCTCCCGCGCGGAAAATCCTCGGACGTCCTGGGGTCTCAGGGCTGGGTTTCTTGTGGAAGGTGTCTTGTGGTCGGGCCTCCACTGTATGGCCCCCTTTGGGTTCAGCGGGGGGCCTCTGGTCTGCGGACTTGTTCTTTCGATCTCGAACGCCAGGGGACTTCTCCGTGGCCCAGGCTGGGCGATGGCCAGAGAGGCGACGGCTGCGTGCGGGAAGCGGGGAACGGAAGGGAGAGAGCACGAGGCTGAGCCTCCTCCTCCTCCTCCTCCTCCTCCTCCTCCTCCTCCCTCCCTCCTCCTCCTCCTCCTCCTCCTCCTCCTCCTCCTCGTCCTCATCCTCCCCCTCCTCCCCCTCCTCTTCCCCCTCCTTCCCCTCCCTCCTCCTCCTCCTCCTCCTCCTGATGAGAGTGGGGGGCCATGTTCAGCAGAGGCTCGCGAGAAGATCGAGCCAACCTCCTCGACGGCCATGAAGACGTACAAGAGGGTCCTCGAGGAGGGCTCGCGTCGGCCCGCGCGCTTCCTGCGTCTCACCGGTCCGTCCACCCTCTTCGTCGTGTTCATCTCCCCCCCTCCCCGTCTTCCGCTGCTTATGCTCATCCCCCTTCCTTTTCTCGCCTTTCCTTCCCTTCCCTTCCCTTTCCTTCCAGTCCCTTTCTCTTTGTCCACTTCGCCAGGCTGCCACCAGATGTCCGTCTGATGCCTCTCTCTTCGGTCGGTCTTCGACAGAGCTCTCGGCCCTTTGGGCCTCTGGTGTTTCGGATCACCTGATGTCACTCCTTCGATGCTTCGAGCTCGTCGTCACGTCTCTTTCCACCCCCCACTTCGAGTTCCATCCTCTGCCTCCTGCTCCTGCTCCTGCTCCTGCTCCTGCTCCTGCTTCTGTTCCTCCTCCTCCTCCTCCTCCTCCTCCTCCTCCTCCTCCTCCTCCTCCTCCCCCTCCGAGTCCCGTCTTGTTCCGCGCTGAGAGTTCATGGCTAGGCTTCAGCCTAGAGGGCCCTCGGCTCCCTCCTCGACGCTTCCCCCTCCGCCTCCCTCCCTTTTCCTCTTCCGTATTTTCGTCCTCCTCATTTAAGTGAATTTCTGTGGAACTCACGTCATCCTTACCCCCGGCGCGCGGGAGAGTCGCTTCCAAACGCACCTCCAGGGACCATTTCCGGCGCTGCACCGGGCGCGCCGGGCTTGTCCCAACCCGGCGCCCTCGCTCGAGACATCCTCGCAAAATCGCCACACGGGCCCCCAGCGCACCCCCACGGACCATTTCTGGCGCTGCACAAGGCGCGCCGGGCGTGTCCCAGCCCGGCGCCCTCGCTCGAGACATCCTTGCAAAATCGCCCCACGGGCCCCCAGCGCACCCCCAGGGACCATTTCTGGCGCTGCACCGGGCGCGCCCTCTTCGCCCTCTTCGTCCTCCCCCTCCTCCTGTGATCCCTTTTTGCGGACACAGGCACACGAATGCATCGACAGGGATCGGAGCGTCAGTCTGTCCTCTCTTGCTCCTGCTTCTATTCCCTTGTTCCCCTCCTCCTCCTCCTGCTCCTCCTCCGCCTCCCGCTGCTGCTGCTCCTCCTCCTCCTCCTCCACCTGCTGCTGCGCTCATGCCCTCGATGCGAGTTCGCAGTGTCTCGATGCGCAGCTGCAAGCGCGCGCGGCCTGGGAGACGCCTTGCAGGCGAGTCGCTTCACGATCCCTCCCCTCCTCAACTCCCCCCCCTCGCCTCGCCCGACCCCCCCCCCGCGCGGGCGGCAAGCGGAGAAGGTCAGCACCTCTTGTGCCCTCCCTGGGGCTCGCTCTGTCCATGCACATTCTACCGTGGGGCAGCAAGACCCAAGCGAGAAATGAACATCGTCTCGATAGGAACCGGCCTTGTCTGCTAATGCCAGCCAGCCCCACCCCCCTCCCGCGCAGGCGGCAGGAGGGACGGGCCTTCGCAGCTGTGCACAGCGAGCAAGCTCTATCCTCCACCCATCCGTACTCCCGCCTCATGTCAGGCAGCCAAGGTGGCGACGGAAAAGGGCAGCAAGACTGGACGAGCTGCCTCTCCCCCGGCTTAATAATCCCGCCACCACCCACTGGACATCCATGCGCTCCAGAGCTGCGGAAGATGCTCTGGCAGGGCAGCCGTACATGCCCGGCCTGATTAGCTGGACGCGAAACTCTTGGCTGCTCTCTCTGCCGCCTGGGAATCATCCATCGGCCAATCTGTGTCATGATGAATGTGAATGTACAGATCGCGTGCATAATCAGCCCCTCCTGTTGGGGCAACACCTGCTCTGGTACACACATCCTGCAGCTCGGGAAGCGTCCAGCCTTGGCCGTGCCACGAAGTGATGCTAGGGATCGACGTTGAAACAGCATGCGCTAAAAGTTCTAATGCGGTCCGAACTGCTTGGTTGCTCTTGTCCAGTGGCGCGCGGATGCCTGCCGTCACTGAAAGGAGGCCCCACGGGTACTCAGGCGATCGCATTGAGTCCTGGAGGCCCCAAGTATTTGACGAAGGTTCAAAGTATGCGCCTACAACTTTGCCTGCATCAATCTGTTGATGCCAGTCAGACATGCTACAGGAAGTTCATGACCAGCATGCCTGTTGTAAAAATCCCGAAGCAACCTATCATCAGGCTTGTGGGTAACATGAACTACTGCCAGAAAATCATATCCCGAGTAGTGGGCATGGCCGCGATGGCCTCGCCTCTGGGGAGATCCAGACCTCAGGGGGCTTACAAAGTCCAGAGTCTTTGGCGGGCCCAGGCTTCCACCCAGGAGGTCGACGAACGGGCATCAGGCCCTTTGACTCGGAATAGCCTCGCTTCCGAAGGTCCTGCTTAGTTATAGTATCTTGGACTGATAGTGCAAGCTCCTCATCTTCTGGGAGGGGCGCTACTTCTTGTCTGAGAGCCAAGAGACATGAGGGACTCCTGTACATCAAGTGATACATCAGGCAGACACGCGTGCTACACTGCTGCATGCATGCGTCACATTTACCAGATCGCGCATACAAGCGGGCGGGAACACCTAGAGTGCGCGGCTGACCTATGATGCCTCCACCCTTGCACTGATGTGCTGAGATGCCCGCATTCATGGCAAATGTATCGTGCGACAGGCGGGTCGGGGACAGGGGGTGCATATTCTTTCAAAGTGCGCTGCCAAACTGCACGTCTATATAGGTCGATCTGCCACGTCTTGAAACGACTCCATGTGATTTTTATAAAAGGGGCCGAACACCGTTGGGGTTAGCCCTAATGGCCTGGCACCGGGACTTGGGGTCGCCAGTGTTTGGCCACTCGGTCCCAGGTAAGACTCCGCTGAGCCACTTGAGGGCCTCTTGGACCAGGGTCCCCCAGGATGCAGGGATTGCCATGGTCAAATCAATCAAAATACAAAGCTCCGCTGGTGCATGCGATAGAATATTCAACAGAAAGCGCAGGCGCCTGGTCCTCACTACAAAGTCAATGTCGACCCTGTTCACCGTGGCCCGCACCTCTTCGTCGATGTGATGGTTGTCTATCGCGTTGCCTTTCATCCTCGCAGCTACCCTGAATCCCTTCATGTAGGCTGTGCGGAGCCCCTGCTTAGCTCCCTTGGGCATCGGGGGCCATATTTCAGTTTAATAGAGGAGCCTGCTGTTGGCGAGGGAGTCCACGAAGACAGCGGCCTTGGCAGGGTGGCAATACCCTGGCTTGATCCAGCGGTCGCAGGGCTTCTCCATGTCGTTGGACACGTCAAGCACGCTCGGGCCCCAACACATATCACACGTAATCATGGCGCCAAGGTGCTTGCACTCACGAACAATAGGGGGCTTTTGCTGGCCGTCATTGATCGCAATCTCACAAGTTTGCTCTCCATATATCCGCAGTTTCGCACTCAAAGTATCAGGCCCATTCATACAGGAAATCGCAGCTGTTTTGCCAGGTCCAAAATTGAGCTCCATGGCGTGCTGAGTGAAATGCTTGGAGGCCGTCTCATCTACTGTCCCAATATGCCCTCGAATGAGTAGGTTCTGTCTGCACATCGTTGGAAGGGCCACATCATCATCAACAAAGATAACATCAGCCAACACATCCGTCATCCTCTCCTGCGAGACCATAGGTGTCACTGTCTGCATCATTTCCTGGAGGTCGATCAATAACACTTTTTCTGCCAAATCCATCTGCATCTCCTTTGGCGGCCTTGGAAAAACAACATCAACGAGATAATCCGCCAATCCATTTCCAGGTCTGCTTCCTCGTCTCGCAGTCGCTGTGGATGTGCTTCCAGGTACTTGAAACCAGCTAAGCCGTTGCGACTCGGCCACCAGCGCAGCCAGGTGCTTGTTGTCAAGGTTCTCGGTGAGTAGTCCGGGCTTTTCGAGGATTGCCCGAACCGCTGGGAACATTGCAGGCGGTATGTTGGCTTGGTCCAACAGGTCATTGATCTCCTCCTCTGTAGATTGCATAGTGATGGCAATTTGTCTCAAGATACGATGAAAGGCCGCAACCAAATCAAACAAGAGGATATCTATTGTGAACCCTCTTGTCTTCGCGACCTGTTGTGCCAATCGGAGTTGGTGCGTAGCCATTGGGGGTCCGCGTCCTTGCCGACCTCCGATTTGGGAATCCTTCAACAGGACATGTGTAGTTTGAGCTACCTTGCTGCGGAGGAAATTCTAACAATCTTTCGGAACAGTATTTCCCAAGGCGATGTCACGATATGCTTCCATATATTGCGTATTTCTTTTTCCTTTGGAACCTCCGCCATCATGCTATGTTTGACCTGTAGCCGTTCACTTCGAGTGGTAGCTGCCGTGAAAACCATTGGGTAGAATAGCTTGCTGGCCTGACATGGTGCAGCTCGAAGAAGATCATCCTGTATTCCGTCTGGACCTGTCGCCTTGTATTGCATTGCCTTCGAGAAGGATTTCTCCCACTCGCCAAGTGGGAGGACAACTTCGATCGAGAAATGATCAATCGGCAGGCTGTCGTGATTCATGTCATGGAACTCCTGGACTACTGAGCCTACATTACCAATCGTTGTCGCCTCTACTTTTGCAAACTGCCTCAGCCTCAGATTTGCCAGTTCTTGTGGACAGGATATCACGTTGTCATGCTCGTCACGCCGTAAAGGAACAACGTTTCCTCCTTGAAAATGTGGGTGTGATCCTCCGCCATCTCTCAATAGTTTCTTGATCCAAACCCACTGCTCTCTACAATCCTCCAGCTCGGTCGCGTGTTCCATTTTATCGGCCATTCGGGTGACGTGGTTGATCTTGCCGGCCTTACATCTGCTCCTGATGATGGCAGAAGTACTCTCCAGGAATATGCGCATCATACTGGCAACTGCGTCGATCGTGACGTCACCAGTTCCATGTAGTCTCATATCAGCTTTATCCTTTCAGGGGTCGGTATCATGCACTAGCTGCTCATAATGTCTCGGTAAACGATACATGACAGTGCCAAGTGCTTTCTCCTCGTTTCCATCTTCGAATCGCAAGCTGCCCATGCCTCCGTCGCCGTATTCATC